TGGAGCCCAGCGGGTTTAGGAGGTCGGGCTGACGATTATAAGTGGTAAGGGCTTTTCTTCTTGGTACCAAGTTCACGAATTTGCTCTCGTTTAAGGTTTAGGGTTTAGGCTTTAGGGTTTGGACTAATGACAGTTTGAATTCTAGGGAGGTTTTGAAGGTTAAATGAAACACAGACTGGTTCTGGATGCTCTTGCAACATGGTGACTTTACTCCTCACTGGCGCCTGCTACATAAATCGGAGAAGCTTATTCCGTCTGCAGATCTTCTCCACAATCAAGACAGTAGCCATGAATAACGTTTACGGTTTAGGGTTAGGGTACCTACTTGCCAAATCCCCTTAAGCAAGTATGTATGCAGCTTCTGGTGACATAGGGCTCATAATAGGGGTCCACTTCCCGACTCCCATGAACCAACCCCAAACCCTAAACCCTAAACCAGTAAGGCAAGGCTGAACTGCCAGAAAGTCTCGAGGAAGACATGCTTCTGCCCAGATTTCTCCAGCCACCATCGCACGAAGTCCATGACATATGTTAGCCTCGGGGGACTTGCTTCAAACATGCAATGATGTACGGTCCTGTGGTTGGAGGGGAGTTTTAGGGAGAACTCCTCTGATCCGCTCATCTATACTCCTGGAGTATTCTGAAGAGACAGGAGACCCCTAAAATGGGGGACACGTTGAGACACCAGCCTCGTCAGATGAGCAAGGGTGGGTACTACATGACATCTAAACAAATGTTGGTTGGCTTTGTGCTGTCGCTAAACCCTAAACCCTGAAATGACCACGCGCGTATATGGCACTGACCTGAAATGCAGCCATCTGAAGGACCACATTTTCTCCAACCCAAATGCTTCTCAGTATCTGCATCAGGGATTCTAACCCAGACATTGCTATGAATTCCTAGAATGGAAGCCCGACCGCATACTATACAGAAATCTAATACCCTTTAGGCAAGCAAGGGGCCTCTTGCCATTCCCCGTCCCCACAAGGTGCCGCAGATACGTATATGGCATAGGTTTTGATGGTCAATAGGGGCCCAAGTATACACTCTACAGGTACAGGAACCCCTTGCATACCTGGTTAGCTAGGAATGAAGGAATGGATCCTCGTAGTAGTCCCCATTTTACCCACTAAAGTAGTTTCCAGGTTTTTTATATTCCTTCATTCCTAGCTAACCGAAGGTAAGCTTGGGGTGAACTGAGGAGCGGACCCAGAGACTCCGTAGAAGTCCACATCGCCCTGTATCGCAGTGGCGCTGTCCTGGTTGCCTTTCAAATCACCTGGGTCTTCTCGAAGGGGGGAATTAAAGTTCCAAGGAATAGATATTATTTCAGAAAGAAAACTAGTCCCATAAAGAGAGAAGATGAACTTAGTCTATGTTGAAGACTAGAATCAAATAGTGACACCCCATGAAATACGACCCTGAACCCTATAAACCCCTGAACCCTAAACTAGCCACCTGAGCAGAGTTTCAAGAAACCCTAGAAGTACTCCCTAAATGAATGGATCCCTACAAGCCATAATCTATAGGTAGGTATATGACAGAACAGTCTTGTTGTCTCAAATGGAAATCAATGGTCCATAGGACATTACCTGCTTAAACCCTAGGGCTCCAATCCACCATGTAACGAGGTGGTTCAAGTAAGGCAGAAAACTGAAACCACTGCGAAACTTGATGCTTCTAGCAGTAGCTCTGACCTATGCGTGACATGAGTGCGCACTACTGATGCAGGAGGAGTTGGTTCGATCTGTTCGAGTGCCCGAGCTTCAAGGTTGTTTTTGCTGCCAATAGGTTTTACATTTTGTTTTGGGTTGGTTTTTCCGGTTTTCTGGGTGGGCTTTACAGTGGCTACGGGCTTTTTACTGCGTCTCTACACGCCCTGTTTACCTAGCGCAATGTGCACGCTTGCCCTGACTTGTTCCGTATATGCGTGTTTACATTGGCCACTGATCTGGACAGGTCGGAGCCTTCCAGCTGAAGCTAGAAGAAAGAAAATCTGAGCCACCAGTAAAACTAGGTGGCGGAAGTCTAGGGTATAGCTTGGGGTTTACTCGTACCTACAACCCCTATATGAACTGAATTTACGTTTCATGGTCCGTGCTCTTTTCCATTTCATGCTCCATCATTCTAATACATATGCGCTACAACTACACTCTAAACCCTCACCGAAAAAACTCAGCCGCGTGACCTAGGCACGCACCCTCCTGTTCCGCAAGGCATTTGGCGGACTCTTGCTGCAGAAGATCTCCGATAAGCTTGCCTCGTGTGTCTGGGTTGCTGTTAAGGAACTTAACCAGAGTTACCATATTGGATCATGTTCGGGTATATAAGGTTCTGGGTTTAAGTTACCATATTATGGGTATGTAGTCATAGGTAACTTGGTTCCTTGTTACGCTAACTTCACTTAAGTTCCATGGCAGCAACCCAGTTCTTGTGGAAGGTCTTTGTTTGTTCGAGACCATAGCATGGCCAAAAGGGTCCAAAGTACCTACTGTACCATCTACGAGACCAGAGAAAGGTGAAGCAAGCCAAGAGCTCAAAGCAAAGCTGATCTCAGCGTTTGAGGGATTGGGTAAATCTTGGTTTGCTCCGAACTGGTTCAAGCATGACCCCCTTCTGCATATTTCTAGTAGCGGGGTCGTTTCTGGCAGATAAAGTATACGATCAAACATGTATAACCGTCATGCCGTTCCTGAATGGGTGGACAGGCTCCAAGACCGTAAACCTGACAAATTCTGAATCCCAAACCCTACAAATCCTGAATCCTAAGCCCTACAAATCCTGAATCCCAAGCCCTACACTTTCAAAACCTACAACCTAAACCCGAAACCCTATACCACATCCAGCAGAGATGCGGCAGTTGGGCGCGTCCCCAAACCGATCTCCACTAAGGATGCCTTCCTTGGCAGTATGGGGATGGATGTTATGCTGTGGAGTTCGAGGTTAGGGTATGTAGAATTCAGGGCTTAGGTAGGGCCTATGTTTTAAGGTCAAAAAAAAGCTTGGGGGTTCAAATTTTAGGAGGGAAGGTTTAAACTTCCGGGCTTGGGGTTGCAGGGTCCAGGGTTACGTTACGGTTCAGACATGGACCTGAAAGGGACGTATTGAAAGACTACATTTCATTTAGGAGGCCCCCCCATGCGAATTCAGGACAGCGTATGTTGGCGGCTGTTGATGGCACCACATCAGGCATAAAACCTGCACAGCCATTGCATTGAAGGATGTGCCTGTTGCAAAACCTTAGAGCTCCCAGTTACCTAAATAATGGGTTCTGGGTTCTATATACCCCAAGTTACATAGCCCAGTAATCTACTGTTTAGGTAACTGGCACTGGGAACCCTTGAGAAAGGCTGCGCCACTGAAAGCCCTGGGGTGGGATCCTAGAATCAAGCTTGCAGCGGAACTGCAGACACGGCCCTTAAAGTCCAAGTTCATGGACTACAAAACAGTAGGGTTGGTTCAGGGTTTAAGGTAGGGGAAAAAGAGTGGCCCAGGATCAAACCATACGTCCAAGTCCGAAGTGTGCTTTTCCAAACCCTATAAACCCTAAACCATCCACGTCTACACCAAAGGCTCCCCAAAAAATGTAGTTTCTGTTTATAGACTTAGTGGGTTTGGGGTTTACGTACTACATACCCTAAACCCTAAGCCGCTATACGGCCCGAGCTATGTCTCGTTTACATTTATACACGGAAAGTCCAGGTGTGCATCAAACCTTAAGCTTTAGACCTCGTAAATTCACGGCAAACTTGAGGAAACTCCAAGCTTCGTCCTGCGTGTGGGAACCGGCCATGTAGCAACTAAGGTCACTTCCGAACTTGCTCCTGACCTGTTGCGGACTACTTGCAGGTTCAGGGTATTTCTACCCCAGTCAGGGAACTTCGGAGGCTCAGAAGTATTGGGTTGCAGGTACGTCGCAGGCACGAAACTCCGACAGCGTGCATTTTGGGCTATAGCGGCTATAGGACTTGGGGGTTGGGGAATCCAGGCCCTTGGGTCTAGGGTATTTAGGGGTTTAGGGTTGAGGGATTCAGGTTTTAGGGTTTTAAGGTTCAGGGGAGTATGAGCTACGCAGGCAACCTGTCTACTTAAAAATACAAAAGCTGCTCATGATGCAATGTTAGAGGGCAGTGAGGCTTGAGGCACAAGAACCTCATGTTGAATATGCCTCCGTGTACCCAAACCCCGAAACTCCAAACTCTACAACCCCCATAAGCCCAAACTCTAAAAGCAGAAGCCCCAAACCCAAACCGAACCCTAAACCGCGAACCCTAAACCCTAAACCTCTAGACCCTACACCCTTAACCCCCAAAACCCCTAAACCCTAGCTTGTTGCCAAAACGCTCTTACTTCGCTCCTGGCGAACTTAAAAGCTCCCAATTATACCACGAGGAATGCTACACTCCCCCAAACATGCAAGCCTGTGTATAACCCTCCCTAAGTAGATAGAACATGGGGTTTAACGTTTAGGGTTTGGGGTTTAGGGTTTAGGGTATAGTCCCCCTCAAGTAGATAGAATATGGCTTTGGGTATATTTGGAATATTATAAATACATCCCCATATACCCCATATCCTGTCTTCTTAAGAGGGACTATAGGCCACTCTTGATATATAAGCGGCAGTCAACCCCCAACCTCGCATGGCGCCCCCAATAAAGATCATATATGGTTGTTCCCCAAATTAGGCATTTTGGTACCCCTAAATATTAGGTGCCGGAATGTACTCTATAACCACATGGGCCCATAATTTTGGGAACGACACATATAGCAGCCACCATCACGACGTGAACTAAGGCTTTCTAGGTCCTCTTTTTTCATGGGGTATATGTATACCCGAAACTTTGAACCACCTTCATCCTAAACTCCGAACCCTGAACCCTAACCCCATATCCTTCAAATCTACATACAAGAACTAAACATGTATTATGATGGTATTGCTAGCTCCCATTCTCTTTTCCTCTGCCACAAAAATGTAGAACCCCCAAACTCTTACTTTCCCGCCTTCTTCTGGATGTGCGTCATCCCGAAGCCCAAGTAGCTCTTGACCAGCACCCCGCTGCTGAAATTGATGCCCTGCAGCGTTCAGACTCTGGACTAAGGCTGTTAAAGCAGAAGGGATCACTAGGGCCCTAAACTCTACCTATACCCTGTGCCGCATCCCTTACCCCACAACCCACTCTACACCCTAAACTCCAAACCTTCTGCGCCGCGGCGGGAGCAGGGATGCCGATCTGCGTGCTGGATCCGCCAAGGTCCTCCAATAGGGTTTAGGGTTTCGGGGTCTAGGGTTTGGGGGTTTAGGGTTTATAGGGGTTCAGGGTTTAGGGGTTTAGAGCTTGGGAGTCTAAGGTCTGGGGAATATGGGAGTTTCTCAAAATAGAGCCCCTTCAGGATCCGACAACGACAGGATATCCAGGGGGTACGAGGGTATCCTGTCTCTACAGGGATTACCAGGACATTGCCTTGAGAAATACCCATGTAGGGTTTAGACAGATTGGTATTTTGCGGTAAATCCGGATAGTTGAGAACCAGATGAAAAAGAAGATGGACAGTGTGAGGGGAACTGCAGTAAGAGATACTCGGGTTCGCGGCTTGGGATGTAGGGCTTATGGTTAAGGATTCGGATGAGGAGCTAGGATTTCGGATTCGAACGTTGAAGGCATTACAACTCCGAAGCCTAAGACCTAAGAACTAAGGCATTTCAGCGTACAGAGTTCCTGGCTTTAGGGTGCAGGGAGTGGGTAGGGGGAGTACAGAGACATTGTCAATTTCGAGCTCGAGTAGGTATGGGGTATAGGTACTACTAGTACTTCACAAATTAAAGAATACACAACATGCATACCATAAATAATGTGCTACATCAAACATACTATGAATGAGTGGTAGAGTCTTTACATACCAAACATAAGTATTCTAGGAACACGAGAGAATGACCGCTGGCCACCCATCTCTAGCAAACAACTCGGAACGCTGACGTTTACAGACTCAGGCACCGCGAACCCTTCAGGGCGGAAAAGCCTGATTGCTCTAAACCCTAAACCCTGAACCAACCCTCTGTCAAGGCTCAGCCGCAGGTTCTCAAGACCCCAAACCTATGCACATTAAACCCGGAGTCCACCCCAAAGATGCGGAAGCATTTGTTTTCTGGCTACTGTCTAACCTAATTCATCCTTTCTACTGCCTTCCCCCACTCAACCCTAAACCGCGAGAACTGCTCCCCCCTGAAACCCTAGACCCTGAACACTAGAACTC